ACAAAAGCCATGCATAGAACTACTGCAGGGTATTTCCCTGAACGTGGCTCCTTTGTTATCATAGCCCTGACATCTGTCCTTCCCACTGGATCTCATTGCATAGGACAATTCAGGTAGGGAGGGACTTCAGGAAGTCCTTGGTCTTACCTGCTGCTCAAAGCAAGGCCACATGCAGGGTCACAACCATGGATCTTGAAATACTCCCAAGGAAGGATAATGCGCAACCTCTCTGGGCAACCTGTGGCACTGCCAGATTGCAGGGTAAAACACTATTATGTCCAACTTCTCTTTTCAACTTCAAGCCCTTTTTTCTCAACCTCCCACCATGCATGACTGTGGAGAGCCTGGGCCCATGTTCTTTATGACCTTATGATGCTGAGGGCTGTTCTGAGGTCCCCCAGCAGCACTTTCCTTCTTCAGGGTGAACAAGGCCTACACCCTCAGCACCTCCTCACAGGGCAAGTGCTCCAGCCCCCAAACACTGGGGTGGCCTTTGCTGGACCTGCTGTGGTTGGCCAATGTCCATCCTATTCAGAGGTCTCCAGATTGGATGCCATAGCATGGTGTGGTTGGCTGAGAAGAGCTGGTGACTGAGCTCCCGTTCACACAGCTGGGAGGCTGCTGTCCCTCTCTGCTGCCAGGACATGCCACCAGCTCTTGTTCTTGCTGTGCTCTAGGCCCCTTGCAGCAGAACTGCTCCCCAGTCCCTAGAACTTCAAGGGGCACTTCCTTCCCAGGCACTGGCTCTGCACCCACCCTCTGGAATTTCATGAAGGGTTCCAGTCACCCTGTTCCTGCAGCCTCTCCAGGTCCCCCTGAATGTCAGCTCTTCCCTCCAGTGTAAAGACTGGTTCACATAATTTGGCATCATTGGTAAACTTGATGAGACAGAGCTGAGTCTCCTTCTCCAGGTCACAGAGAAGTCTGTTGAACAGGAAACAACCCAGGACAAACCAGCCTTTCCACAGAGTAAGCCCCTTAACCACTTCCATCTCCCAGTCATGCCAACAACTTATCTATCTATTGAGTTCTTCACTAGAATTTTGTTTATGCTTCTTTCATTATATTACAGAATTACAGAATGGTTTAGGTTGAAAGGGTCATCAAAGATCCTTTAGTCCAACCCCCCTGCCATGGTCTAAGTCTGGTTCCCACCAGACCAGGTTGCTCAGGACCCAGTCTAGCCTGGTCTTGAGCAATTCCAGGGATGGGGCATCCACAACCACTCTCAACAACCTGTACCAGTGCCTCACTTACCCCCATAGTGAAGAATTTCTTCCTAACATTGTACTACTCAAATTGCATTCACTGGAATATTTAGGACCTCAACTGTTCCTTGCACTACAAACTGTTCACTCATCTGCCAGATGTAAGGAATGCTCAAGTTGCTCAGCAGTCAGGAGGAATCACTGTATTCAGAACCATGCTTTATGTAATATTTACATGATACAGTAATTTTGGAGAAATTTGCCACTATTTTAAATTACAGTTTATGAGCTGCAGTATTTGCTGTATTAAAAAAAATCCAGCTAATGAACCTCTCCTTGTATAAGCTAGTATATAAATAAGGAAATTGCAATAGCACATGCTTTAATGTCATATGAAGCTGTAGAGCAATTACTCTGTGTTCCATAACTACCTCTTGAAAAATCTTAAGAATGGTAGTCTGATTATGGTACCATTGTCAAAATTATATTTCTCATTCTAAGTACAGTTTAGCGATTCCCTAATAATAAAGGAAGTGGATGTATTGCTAACTAGGCTGACAATTCAAGTATTCATGAGTATCCATGGTTCACTGACCATTAACAATCAGTAAGACATCAAATGATGATTTAGAATTCTCTCCTTTCTACTCAATGCCCCCAGAGTAAAATACAAAAGCATATTTTAAATGTAGCTTAAATTTTAATCATTTTCAAACAGAAAACCTTATTTGGGCAACATCCCAAAAAGCTGTAATTTTTTTTTTTGCCTCATTTAAAAAAAGTTGGGTACAAGGATCTTAGGCAAATACAGTACGATGACAGAAGAACACTATTTTTTTAAAAGACTCATAACTACACTGCATGTATGTATGTATACGAAAGCAATACTGTGAATAAACTCAATAAAATGCAAAAATTAGAAATATTTGGGTGGTGTGTGTTGATTTTTTTTTAAATTGGCTTCCTATTTATGCACATAATTAAATTAAGACCTCTAATTTATTTTGGCATTATTTTTGCTACCTTGATCTGATTTGGAGAATTTAGTAAACAAAACAAAAAAAATCAAGAAAAGTATCCTTTTTTAAAAGCTGCCCCAGTGCAGATGGAAAATTCCACACAGGATCCAGAAAAGCTCTGTGTATGTATATAAACATGTGTGCGCTTATACATACATGTACATACAACTTGTTGTTTGCTGAAATGATAAAGTTCAAAAGTCCCAGGATCGTGCTGGTGGTGATCCAAATTCATTAATATGGCTTTGCAATCTACACACAAAAACCTACTGTTCATGACCCATGGAAAACATTTGTTTTGTCATAATTCAATTAAAAATTCAGGTAAGTTTAGCTGGCCATTTAGTGCCAGTCTACCGTGCTGCTTGCCAAAGTCAGACTAGCATACAGGTGCTCTTAGAAGAGTCAGAATTAAAGGAAAAACCCTAAAGGCCAACCTGTGGGAAATGAGTCTCCTAAGAAGTCAGTAATACCTCAGCTGGTGAATTTCCTTAAGTTGTTCAGGCATCGTTTCACAGTTTGAAGCTGACCTGAGTTCAGTACTCAGGCCCAGGAATCTCACAGGCTTTATGAGCCTTACATTTTGCAGCAAGGCACAGCTGCAGCAGGAAGCAGAGCAAGTGCTGTCACCTCCTCAGCCCAGCTTCATCACCAGTCTCACCTGAGTAGCAGGTCAGATATTGTGATTTTCACACCCAGGCTGATGAGGCACCCTACAAACACAGATAGCAGATCAGGCTTTTTAGGGAACTGAAGACACCAGACACCCAATCTGTTGGTTTAAGGCTGAGGAAAGTGTTGAACTGAACAAAGACCTGGCAAGAAGAAAGTAATTTTACACCTATACAGAAGCAAAGCACACAGGACAGTAAATTTTTACCTTTAAAACTACCTAGAAAATCAGGCAAAGGTTTTGTGAACTGTGTCTAAATTTTATCCCAGTCCCATCCTAAGCCAGGAAAAGTTTTGCAACTGGCACTCATGCAAAGACAGATCATCAGATTTCACTGGGTGGTTTTGTAGACCTATCCCTAACTCTCCTGTATGAAGGGTAAAGAATGAAATATTAGGTAAAACTTCCACAGACTAAGAGCAAAAACCAGGCAGATGAGCAAGTATCGCTTCATTAAATAAACTGGGAATCACCCACAGCAATGCCATATAAATGCACTCAGTCCTGCCTGACTTCTGAAGCTGTAGAGGATATCTGGGACTGGTTATCATCCAAGTAGAAGAACACCTGGGAATTCCCAAGCTAAGAAGTTACAGATGAACAATTTCTGAACATTAAAGCAACACATGAAAAATGAGTCTGTTTGTACTACAGATGGACAGAAATTGTACCAGAATAAATCAACCTCTTTGCACTTTTCTTACACAAAAACACTTACCCATTTGACAAGTAAAGAAAATGGTCTCAAGAGGCTGAATATTTTTAAGATTAAATTACCAGGCTATGTTTTTAAAAATAGTAGCATCCTGTTCTTCCCAGCTCCAGTGGAGCATCAATCCAGGTGCTGTTTTGCAAGGCAGTATCCAAAGACATTCCTCAGCCTGCCATGCTGACTATCAACAACAACAAATTGAGCAGCACTTCCATGATTTGCCTTTCCTTGTCCTATATTCATCCTTCTAAACATCACTTAGTAGGTAAAGCAAGTTGTGCAGGTAAACAGATAAAAAAAAATATGCTATTTTATGTGTGATGCTTTCACAACTGCTCCTCATTAGCTTCATTCATTTTACAGCATTTTCCAGAGACAGGACGAGCCAGTTAACCTACTGAATTTTTTAATTTGTTAATTTATCAAATTTGCTGGGTAGTCAATAGTCTGCTCTGAAAAAAGTGGTGAAAGCAGAACCAGAACTCAGTTTTATTTCTTTTTTAAGTACAATCTCTCTCATAACTGAAAGGCAGAAAAAAGTGCTTCATCCAAAATAATCAGATATAAATAATTATATCAGGAAGGAAATTATCAACAACAGAATCTCACAGAAAAACACAAACCCTCTACTTCTTACAAATACATGGGAAGTTCATTTTTAAGAACTGAGAAAAAAGCCATCTTTAATGCATCTATTTTAACTGATCCTTTAGAACAGCTCTCTGCAACACATTTTATCCAGGAAAAAACAGGTAGCTATATGACAACAACAGCTAGTCAGTTCAAAATCATTAAGCAGAATGTTTTTACCACCTACTATTCACATCATTTTGATTTTGCACAATGACTCATATCACTTACAGATTCCACTTCAGAAAATTAGCAACACCACCATTTCATTTGTCTCCTTCCAACATGAGAACTGTCATGGTTCTATTATTTTCCAATACAGACTGATACACCAGTGAAAAGAATGATGAACTCTAAATGTGCATTAATTGATGGCTACTCTTTTACCAGGAACCAGTTAAAGCTACAGCATAGGAATAAACTATGTTCATTCAAGATTCTTTTATTAGAGCACTAGTTATATGATGCAACTCTAGTAGTTGTATAGCGTATGCTATTCCCAGGCAGGTTTCTCCTGACAGCTTTTTTTGCTTTTTCCAGTGAAATTGTGCCATGTCTTGCCACTATAATTGCAACACAGTCTCTAAAGTACTTAGAATTATTCTTTTCTTTTAGGGTCAACTTAAAATTTTTCATCTCTCTTTAATGAAAGTAAGGGAATTGTGACGAAGTGTGAGGAACCTGATGAAAAAAATTTGTACTTTTTCTTCCTTTCAAGGAAAAATCCACATAATCTGAGCATCCATCACTGCATGAACTACAAATGCACGTTCTGGTGAATAAATAATTAAAGCATCCAACCTCATATTAACTGTTCTTAGCCACTTACCTCTGGCTAAATAACCCAGAAAATGGAGTATCTAAATTTTGTATTTGTAGCACTACAGTAAGCTGTTGGTTGTACCTCTAATGACAGAGTTTGAATGGACACTAGAGGTTTTTCAGTCTTGCACTGAATGCACTAGACTGTCTGTGCTTAGGATATTTAACTCAACTGCAGACAACTTAGTGGTAGCAACCTGCAGCAGCCAAGTGCCCCAAGAAGCACCCACCCTGAGCTGTCAATTAAAACTTGCTCTCTCTGAAGTCTTGAGATCCATGACTTCAGGATTCCCCAAAGCCAGCATGAGATTGCTGGGATGCTACATAAGGAGGGAGGTGTGTATGCTCTGGGATATGAAGCATAATGCAGATATGTGAGCATTACTGAAGAATTAACCCAGGAAGTGCTCCTGGAGCCATGTGCAAAGCAGGTACTCCTGTTTGTTCCCTGCTATTATCAGTCCTGCACCAGGCCCATACAACTTGGCTAACCTAGACAAGCAGTAGCCTGGAAAATCCATCTAAACCATGCCACTTGGACCTAACTTCTTCAATCCCACTGCCATGAAAACCCTTGCAGAAAACCCCATGTTTACTCCAATTGCTAGAAATTAAACATACTCTGTGACTTGAAATAAAAGCATGTCTAAATAACGACTTGACAATTTCAGAGATCCTTTAATATGTAAAAGAAGTAACCAAACCCAAGAATCCTCCTTCACAGCCCCAAAAACACACCTAGTGGAAGCTGCTGTCTGCAGTCCTATCAGTCATTTTGTCTGAAGTTGCCGCTCTCAAGCTGCACTGAACATGAACAAACCCCACAACTTCACAAACGAACAGACTCAAGCGTAAGGTGGTGCTGAAAACTTGCCAAACGGGGTCTGTCATATGTCCCGTGACTCAATGCACTGTCACAGATTTTATGGTGACCCTAAAGATAGGGTTGTTTCTTAACTAATGAAGAAACAACCCTGTATTAAAGACTGTTTTAAAATTTTTACTTTAAAAGATACAAAATTTAACAAAAGAAACAAAAAAGTACTTCTGAAAAAAACACAGTTAAAAGAACTTTTCCAAGCTTGTAAGCGATTCTAATTCAGTAAGAATACACTAAAACTAGGACAGAATCATAGAACATCTTGAGTTGGAAGGAATCCGTAAGGATCATCATTCCAACTCCCTGCTCCTTGCAGGGGCATAACTGTACATAACTTTACAAACCTGTAAAATATTTCAGTTTCCTTTTAAATAATCTTAACATTTTAATTATGACAGCAAATATGAACAATCAGTGTTAAGAAACTGTGCAGAAGAAGCAGACATGAAAGTTATTGCACAATGTATCTGCTGAATCTCCTACGACCCAAGGCTTCTGGTTTCAGTTTTTGGCACTGGATTCCAACAAGTCTTTTGCTTCGTTTATTTTGGTTGCTAAGTAAGGTGATCCACCTGAGAAGAGAAAGGGGAAAGGAATACTGTTTACACATTAGTATTAAGTACCAAACTATCTCACTTGCAGCATCTCTTTATTATTAATTTTTATTATCTCTTTCCTACACAGATCCTTTTGATACAACTGACATTGATAAGAAACTAACTAATGGATAAGGAAACATGAGAAATGTAATCAAAACTGAAATCACTGTAGAATAACACAGAACAACTTGTCTCAGAGAGAAGACTGAGATCTGAAATCACTTTATATCCTGTGATTTAGATCTGCAGTGGGATGCTACTGCAAATGTATGCAAGGTCAGCTGTCCTGAACACTCATTCAAACCTAACAGCAATTACGTCCGCTCACACTAAAAACTGAGAGGTAAAATTTTAAAATAACTTTGACAAAGAATTATTGTGCAAGTATCTCCTGTGTGAGATGCCCAGAGTTACCAGCCAGAACTCACCACAATAAAGCTATTTAAACATGGTACACCTTCTAACTCCTAGTGCTGAACACTGCCATTGCTCTATGCTCCATCTAACCATCTAATTACAGTTCAGCAGTCTTTTTGTGTCTAGGGTTTTTTCAGTCTCCCCTTGAGTGCTAGCCATCTGCCCACAGCCACCAAAAACAACACTGCAAGGTCTATATCAGTAACTCACCACTTACTATAATACACCTATATTTTAATGTGAAAATACGATTCCAGCAGTACCGTGCACTGCACAGCCTTTTCCAAGGCATTTGTTCAACCTAATTCTTTTCATTCACCATGTCCTTCATTCTATTAATCAGAAAAAACAATGATAGAAAAAACATGCAGAGCTAGTTGTAGACACATCAAATAAAAAGGTGAGGCTTGCTCAAAGACTTCTTTAGGTCATTGCTGCAGGAATTCAAATCAGTGTAATTGCATACTGTAGTATACCAATCAGGGAAAAAAAAAAAAGAAAGAAGTTTTTTCCCATGGTTTGGTCTTGTTTGAGTGCTTTACTTCTAAGAAGTAAGTCACACTGGAGGAAAGTGAGGCAGGGCACGGGATGAGTGATGAATTGACTATTGAAAAAAGAAAATTTTTTTTCTTGTCTTAAATCAAGTAGCTTTGTAGCAAGGAATAGGATTATTACATTGACTACTGCTTCTTTCACAGAGTAGGTAAGAGGATCAAACAAACAGTAAAGACTAAAACCTGCAATAAACAATGTATTCCAAGTAATTTTAAAATGTGAATTGATTTTCTACATGTCTAGAATACAGCATCCTAAAGTAAATTCAAATCTGTTGGAAGTGTTTTCACTACATTTACATCCTTAAGTGCCATATTAATTTTGTAGCCCTCCAATGAGAGGAAATTCAATCTCATGATTGCCTAAGTGTTTGTTTATAATTAAGGCAAGTCCAAAAGGTTTCTCTCCTTTTTTTTTTTCTGTGAGGAAATGTTCTTTCATAAAAATTTGTAACTGATAACTTAACATACAATGTATCAATACAAAAACATTTTAAAACTGAACTGTAAAGATTAACAAGCAACCATTTCAGTAGTACTCTCTGGGGATGTTTTCATGCAAATTTCTATATATTTCTTATTTATTTCTAATATTTCTCTCTCCAACAGTTTGGATCTCAGAACACATGTAACTTAAGACCTGCAACTACTGCTCTTTCGTCTATCATTTCCAGGTGGCAAAATATTATTTCAAAATTACATTATACCATTGAATGTTATTTTTAAATGAACATCTGTGCTACCAACAGCCAGAACTGATCTATACACAAGCAAACAAGCCTCTCTGTGGTGCCACATGTTCAAGATTACTCCAGGCCCTCACTCTGCAGCTGAAGATATTAAGGTTTTTTTCTACAGCCATGCCAGAAGAGCTTCAGGGGCATTGAGAAGCACAAATCCCTACAACTGGTGCTCCCACTGAGAAAACGCTCGGTGTCTCACTATCACACAGGAGGGCTCACTACATCCATCCAAACCTACACTGTGCCCAGCTGCAGGGGCATTAAAACTCTCAGAGTGCAGCACTAAAATCTTTGTTAGGGTTGTTAGGATCTTCCTAACAGGAAGCATCTCTTCACATACACTCAATATCCACATGGAGATTCACAATTCTCTTTGGCTGACGTGTCTACATACTGCTACATAAAATCCAGAAGTTCATTATTAATAAAACTTGACCTAATAGGAACTCTGGTGGTTAAAAGACTTTTGACCACTGTAATATATTAGAAACGAAGATGAGAATTTCCTTTCTAGGTCTGTGCAACTTATACATTACAAAAAGAGTAAAAAATGAAAGTTTGAAATCAAACAAGCAGGACAGCTTTCACGCTAAACTGAGGGATGAAGAAAGAAAAGCATCAACTAAACACTTCCCATGGCCAGTGGACACACTTATCATTTTCTTAAAATGGGGTGCTGGTAGGGAGCCTATAATTCTGTCAAAAAGAAATAAAAACCCTCTGATTTCCCCTTTTGACTTCTGAAATACAGTGCAACTCTTCACCATCTGTTATTTTAAAGCAGAGACAGCAATGAACATATGGGCTTTCTTTCTCAACCAGCTGTAGTGTAGTTAAAGTTATAATAATAGCCTTTCTCTAAGATAAATTTACATTAAAAACCCGGCCAGTAAAGCAAGAATGCCCAGCTTTACATTCTTTCCAAGTGAATTCCAGAAAGTCTGAAATTCATCAATGATGTACTTAGTAACTGCAAAACATTTCCCCACAGAAAATTACTTTCATGCATGCAACTGGTCCACCATAGTTCAAAACAGGAATTTTATTTTAATGTAAAATTTTTATAGCTTATTTTTCAAGAAGTTTTTGCCAAGTGTGGAAAACTGGTCCCCGAGCTCATAGTCTTAACTGAAGCAGCACAAGTACAGAAAACAACTTTAAATAAAAATGAGTACAACTGGTTCATAAAGCTCAGTTTATCTGAGATGACACACAGAAGCCCAAGTCAATAAACAACAAACATTTGCAGTTGATGTGGTTATTTACACAGTCAGAAAATTTAAAGGATCTCATTTAAGCCTCTTCCTTTCCAGCCCAAGTTAAGAAAAGTAGTAATTATTTACCTTTATCAGGATGATTCAAAATCATGATTTTCCTATGCGCTGTTCTGATTTTGTCCTTGCCAGCAGATGGACTGCAAAAACAAATTGAAGTGCTTACAAGAAATGCCAGAGCACTCAGGCTAAAAATTAACAGCTTATACTGGCTTCAAAAATAATTGAAACTTGAGATTTTCACCATCTTGTGGACAAAACATAAAACTGCATCTCTGAGGAAGCAACAACAACAAAGGCACATAAGGCAAAGAGAGTGGCATTTTTCAAAAGCCTGTGTATGTGACACATACAAGTATCTTTCAGGTTTTTGTAGAATGTAATACATCCACTCATTTAAAATAAAAAATTTGAGGGGGGAAAAACAAGATAGCCCCAGCAGTTCTAGGGTATATCTGGTTGGTTATTCTAGCATTAAATGCAAAAAACACAATTTTTCCTCCAAGAAAATAAATCTCTTTATGACCAGTGACAAAACAACAAATATTTAATATTATCACATTTTGTTCTACTGTAAATATTTTTATAGCAGCTATAAATATTTTTTCTTTCTACTGGGGCCTGAAAATAATGCCTGTATGTGTTATTTTTTGCAAAGCTGTTCAATGTGTTACATTCAGGGACACATTGATTTACAGGTGTTGTCTACATAATATTGTTTACTTCAATGACATACATAAAATATGTATTTGGCCTAAATTAAATACAAAATATGTACCTTACCAGACAAATAACCACTTATGGATGCAGTATGCCAACACAGTAAAACTCTTGTATGCAAAAGGACAGTTTGAATGGTTCAGTTTTTTATAATTTGTTAGTATGTAGAAATGAATCAGTGTTTTCCACTTCAGGTGACTTCTTAATCAGTGATGATTCAATTAATTAATCTTTCTGTAGATACAGCTTGAATGCAAGGTATCAGCCCAACTAAGTTCCCGAGGTAAACAACCTCTCTAATTATTATTCTGTCACAATGAAATTAGGGTATGTTGCAAAAATAGTTCACAGAACTGCGTAAAAAAGAATACTTCAATTGAACAGAAAGTGACGTAGAAAGTAAGAAACAAACAGAGGGTGAAGGGTCTTGGATTACATAGATACAAAACCAAAATGATTTATCACACAACCATAAATAACAATCATCTATATTTTGATTTGTACAGCTGTTTTTAATACTAAAAAGGAAAGCTGTTATACCACATTTAGAAGCTCAGATGGTTCTAAACCATAACTGGGGAAAAGTGGCAATTGAATATTACAGAAGATCATGCAGGTCTGCTCAAAGAAGCAACTGTGAAAAGAGGGCTTTACTTCAAATTTCCTTAGTTTATGAGATATTGTTTATCCCACAATGGGCTCTAAAGATTCTTTATCACTAGGAGAAAAACAGATAATGTTAAAATCACATTTTCCTTGACTCGCAATGTGACTCACACCAATATCATGCTGCCTTCTAACATCACCCACTGGCCAAGAAGTCTGTCACTGTGGTGGGAACAGCTGATATGCTGGAGGGCAGGGCTAAAATTCAGAGGCACCTCCAGGGGCTGTAGGAATGGGCTGACAGGAAGCCTTCACAAAATTCCACAAGGATGGGTGCAGAGCCTGTACTGGGGATGAAATCTCCCTTGCAATGCTAGAGGCTGGGAAATGCCTGGGTGGGGAGTGGCTCTGCTGAAAGGGATCCAGGGCACAACAAGAACAATTCTCCACTGCAGTATGTTACCATGCCTTCAATCCAAACAAAAGTCACATTTTTTCTGAGCATGTTATTGTTTGCTTTTTAGTTTAAGCAGAGTACTAGAATAATTTATAAGCCATTAGAAGTCTTTGACAAAAAAAGTTGGCAAGCAGATGATTTTGGCAAGCAGATTCCACATTCTTGCAACATGCATCTGTTTCATTCAATACTTGCTGAAGTAAAAACATATTGATGCAACACACCTACCTTACACCTAAAATAAGACTTGCTTCTCGCCTACTCATTTTCTGTTCAAATCCTCCCTTATAGTATGATGAAAGAGTCTACAAAGAAGAAAGGGAAAAAAAGCAATAATTAGTTCATGCACAAAGTGCCAGGAACTAAACTGTAGTTATGTGGCCTCATTCAGAGCATTATATCCATCTACAATTTATTTCAAAGGCATGGAATGACTGGAAACCAGATAATATGAAAGGACTTCTCCTGAGTGATAACATATACAAAAAAAACAACTTAAAAAACCTACCTATGTTTTCACAATCTTCTACTGTTAATAAGAGATATTAATAGCTACAACCACTGAAATCCTGCCTCCAGGAGAAAAGTCCAGAATCAAAGTACATACTAGCATAGGATGGTACAGTGCATGTGTTGGGGAGGGCATGGGAGGGAAAGTAGGATAATTGTTGAGAACAGCACTGGTATTCTCACAATGACAAATGCCAAAAGTGGCAACATTTTGGCATACATGGATGTTAGGGACAATCACTACAGATATTTCTACAAAGCAAGTTGGTAAAAAATCCCAATAGATATAAGAATAGATTTGATGTGAAGGAATGTTACTTCAAAGAAGTGTATAATGAGTTCTTTGAAGGAATCCTGAGAAAGAAACAAGAAAAAAAAAAGAAAAATAAGAAACAAGAAAAATAAACAGAAAGAAACAAGGGAAAAAATGAAGGTTTAGCATAAAGCCACAACCTGCTTTAGGAAACCACTGAGCTGGGGAACATTGGAAAATAGTGAAATATCTTCAAAACCAATGACTGACAACTATAAGAAACAGGACCTGGGGTTAATTTTTTAAACTCATTGTCCTATGAAACTTTATCCACTGTTTTAAGAAGGGAAGAAAAAACAGTGGGAGAAGAACAATAAAAAGGAGATGGAGATGAGAGCAAATCATTACAGCTACTGTCATAAAGAATGGGTTGAAAGTATATTTGTCTACCATAAATCTATTTAAATTATGAAAAAAACCTGTGGAACCATCATTGATGGTTAGCAGTGATCACAATGTGAATGTTTTTGTAAGTCCCAGAGGTAGCAGATGTAGCTCCAAGCCTTGGCGAACTGGCACACAGAAATCACTCAACAAGACTAAAGTCTTTTCCTCAGTGAAAAACCTATCAACTGAGGGAAAATAAGCTTCTTTTGTTGCTATCAAAGGGAAGTCTGGCCTGAGAGCTCAGACTATTTTTAAGTATTCCCATTACCCCCAAGTAAAATGTGCCTGGCCCTTGAAAAAACACTCTTCTCACTAAATAAAGCCATTCATATTCAGAATTTTGCCTTATGTCTACACAAGCTCTGTTATATAATTTCAAAACCATTATATAGCATTTAAAGGGCTCTGTCTATGATATCTAAGAAAAGCCTTTAAGCTTAGGAGAGATATTCACCAAAAAGCATAGTTCAGAAATACTTCACCTACTGCTACCACAATGTCACATGCAACCACAGAAGAGATTTTTTTAGTGTGTTGTTATCGCCCAAAACGAATTTTATTTTCCTTTTCCCAAACCATGAACAAAGTAATCACTACTGTAACCCTACAGGTATCAAAGCTGAAGAAACTGTGGTCATGCCATGACAACAACGAGAATCTGTGGAGGAGCCACTTCTGTAACTACAGGGTAACACCAAGCAGGTCTGGAAAAGTGTACATGGACCTGAGAGGTTTGAGGGTGCAACACTAAGGGAACACACAGCGTTTCTCTGGTTCTTTGAAGGGAAATGATGTCAATAATTTAATGGCCAACAGGGAACACACTTGAAGAGCAGAACTGCACAGAAATTTGCAGCAATGCCAACAATTACTACAAGCAAAAGAGAAAAGTGTATTTTAATGCTCTCTGAAAGTTTTTCCAGAAACATTTGCTCCCAAAGCAGTCTAGGTGCAGGTCCTGAATTCTTCTCTGCCCTTCAACTCTGACACACAATTCTAATGCAGGAGAACACTAGCTTGCTATTAATGTAGAGAAGAGCAGCATTTGAATTTAACACAGCTTGTCTCTGTTCTTGGTAGATTTCATCTAAAACACTATTTAAAGCGAGAGACTAGGGAAGGATGGCTGCAAGCTTACATTCAGAAATATTTTTTCATGTTTTTAAAGCCTACTTCCTGGACACTGTTCTAACCTTAGGAAGCCTCGGTTCAGCTCCAAAAGGAATGAAAAAAGAAATTCTGTAACCTCTGTCTTTTCACACACAAACAGTTTGCTGAATTGGTCTCCACGAAAAAATATTTTCTTCTCGTAAGTGAAGGATGTAGAAACAATAATCAATTCTTTATTTAAGATCTCCATCCTAAGCAGAATTTAAAGCAAAAGGAAATTACACATAAAAGCATTTTTTTCCATTGGTTAGAAAAAAGAGGAAAAAACACTGAGACTTCATTTTAGGCAACACGTAGGCAAATTTCTAGTTCCCTAATGAAAGAATTTTTACATGCTACTCAAACTAAAACATTTTTTTCCTAGTTGTAAATTCTAAGTAATGGTGGGAAAGATATTTTTCTGTTTTGAGAACTCCTTGATGAGCCGGCAGCTCTAGACACTTGATTATTTATTAGCTCCAGCAATTGCAAAGAAAATTTTGTACTGCAAAAATCACTGAAATGAGCTCTTCATTCCTTTGTACTATTTGGGGGAAGGGGAGGAGGTATCATTTAATTTACTTAATTTCCTTGCACATTATTACTGTTTAGCAATTTATATAAGTCCTCCTTTCTGAATAAATGCTATTAATAGGTTTGGGGCATAGGGAAGGACAGAAAATGGCTGCACTTGCTTTGCAAACATCTATTCAGTCTTGCAAATCTTCACAAAAGCAAACAGATAAGAAAATCCAATGCACAGGGATCATGACATCTTCAAGATACTTCTTTTTTTCATAGCACATAATCACAAGCATAATCACTGTTTCCATGCCAGATAAGAGAGTGAAAACACCAAAGCTGAGACCATACATTACATTACATGGAGTACTGAATTTTTCTGAAAACTGTATGTTGCTGTTCCAGGATGAACACAGCCCTCCACCAGAAAGGGAACAAACACCAGAGAAAAAAACCAAACACAAAAAAAAACCTACAACCACAAACTATTAGAAGCTGTGATATAACACACAATTTTGCTAATATCAACTTTAATTTCCTTAACTTCAGTTAGGAAAGAAATCTTATAAAATGGACTGCATTGTTCTCTAGAAGCTTTATTTTCAAATAAGGACAAAAGAGACAGTTGCTACCCTTAACTCTCAACTCACAACTCCATGAGTCTGAGCAAAATCAGAACCAATAAAGGAAATACAGTGAAAAAACCTAATGATGTGCTACAGAAGTTCATTTTCTTATGGAACACAGAGTTTCATGATTGTGGGATCTGAGTATTTTGATAGTTTATTTGGCCTAGAATTTCTGTGTCTGTCTTCAATATCTTCTATCTGTCATTCAATCCTCAATATCATTGATTCCACAAAGAAAGGTAATGAATGCTACCGAAATAATTGCTTCTTTATTTCACACTTTAAGGAAATATTAATAGTACAACTAGTGGCATGAATTCTGAGGAAGAAAGACAATTGACTACTTAGAGCTATGCAACTACACACAGAACCAAAACCGTGTCACTGAGACCACTGACAAAACTACAGACAAACTAAAAAACCATTTCTGTGGGAGCAAGCATTATGACTTGCCATAGAGTGGAAATACAATGTTTCCTCTAGTGTCTTTCTCCACTGAAAGAAAGATGGTAGAAAACTTCTAGACTAAATTACAGAAACATCTACAAATACATATTGTTAAATATAGAGTGACTGTCTTATATGAGATGTAAAAATTCAAAATAAAGCTTTTACTTGCTTCTGCTTACTATTTCTGACTAAAAGATGAGTACAATTGTTGACTGTACATGTTACTTCTTTATGTAAGTAAATAGGAAGTGTAAAATCCTCAAGATACAGCAAGCAGCATTTTAAATCATCACTTCAAAATTGCTCAGCTTGACCTTTCCTAAACCATTTATTAGTGAGGAGACAGAAAGAATAAACTGCACTTGTATTACCTTGTGTGATTGGGAGGGATCAACATCAACTGTGACTTCTAGTGCAAACAGAGGAGGGGACACATTGTAAATGGAGGAGGAAGAGTGGGGGTTTACAGAGGGAGGCAGCTGGCTTTTCAACAGTCAGGTGTTCACAGACTCTCAAGGAAAAGAAGGCCATGAGGGACAAGGTTTCATTCTAGAAAGCTAGAATAAGCACTGAAAATTGTAGGGACCAAGTTAGGTGCCTTCACCATAGAAATCCAGCAAAGTAACACTGAGCCCAGACACTGAAGGTCGTGAGATTTTTTTTTTAAGGAAGCACGGGTAGAAGTACCAACTTCTTGGTAACCTTTGTCAGTACAGTGTAAAGGGCAATATGCTGTCAAGAAATGTTATGAAAGTGCTAATTCACAAATTAAACACAGCAGCTTCATATTCCACAAAGTCATGTGAAACTACTATAATAAGCACTTTGGAGAATAAGTGCTTATATAGGATTTTTGTATTTAATCTTTTCTCTACTGTTTTAAAGAAAATAATCCATTGTTAAGGGAAGAAGAAAAAAAATTAAAATATAAACTGAGAAAGCAGTAGTTGTAGAGTAGTAAAAATCAAATAATCTTAGCCAAGAATTATACAAGGATCTTGAATTTGGACCGTGGTTGTAGAAGAAAAATATTATCACTATCCTCTCACAAATATAAAGCCAGAAAATACACACAGTAAATGGCAAAGAGGAAGAGAGTTTTTACTGTCTCCAGTAGATCTCATCTTACACTGAAAACTTGTACTTTCAAGTACAGAAATACAACAGCAGAAGAGATACCCTACTGGAAATCAACACACAATTCTGGGCAGAAAGGCAGGATGTGAAAGCAGACAGAGGATACTGCTCCAGGGACTAAGAACACTTAGAATGCAGAAGCTCCTGGTTTGCTCTTTATGGCTGTTCATGAATTCTGCAGGACTCAAAGTCACTGAGGTAAAAATGAGATAGGTCTGTAATGAGCTTGGCTCAGTCAGTATTGAGGGGTGCAGTTTCCTAGGAACAGACACCTCTCCATGCAGTAGCATGTCACATTTCAATGTGTTAAAAAGAGTCACTGCATGCTTTCTTATGTGAATGTATCTGAATTTAGATTCTCTAGCCTGTATCTACAAATGGATAGAAAAAGAATGGCTGGAGTAAAACAGCTAGGGAGGGAGGGAGGGTGAAGACTGAAGCACTCCATACTCTGAAGCTACATGTACTGCCAGCTACATCTAGCAAGTCTGCAAGTCAGCCTGTATCTCTATCATGTGAAAGCAATTTAATTCACAGTACCTAAAGTCCCCTCTGTTGTTTTGGCAGGCAATATGGGAATATCTCAAAAATTTTTTTTGAAATAGGAAAAAAAAAATTGACAGTGGTCTCTCAAGAGCAATGCAATAAGAGCTACAGAGAACAAAAAAAGTTTTCCAGGAGCACTGTGTGTGGCTGAAACACATGGCAAGCAAACACACAGCCCCAAGAGGACAGCTGAATCTCCTCCCCAGGAAGCCTGCCTTGACCAAGCTTGCACCTTCAGCACAGGAACACCAAGTACAGATGGCAAATGAATTTGGACCTCAGTGTCTGTCTAGACAGGCTCTGTGCTGCAACTGGCCTAACATTAATAGGTACAAAGCTAATGTAGTAGGCCAATGCTATCATGTTTTTTAAAAACCTACCTTTGGTATATTTTTCAGGAAATAATAACCTGCAACAACTACTCCCTGAACATGCTCACCCATCAGCATCATGAAGGGAATAGCATTCTTTTGCTGTGGGTAAGTGTACACAGACTATGAACTCTGAAGGAACATTCTGCTACAAGCAGATATCTAGCTCACTGAAAATTACTTCAATCAAACAGGGATGGGATGGAACACATGTATTTATTTACCAGAGGAAAACATAGCCACTGAAGCAGTAAGTAAATGCTCTCAAATATTCCCTGCATATGCATCCCACACAACACTCTACTTCTTGATTTTTTACCTCATTATTATATTTTTTAACCAGCAGGAAAAAACCAAAGAACAAAAACCTGGTTAAAAGTTCAAATTAGCTGGGGAAGAAGAAAAAGACAACTCCTATGTAAACCAGCACACAAGCTCTCCCATCTCCATGGCAACCCATCCTAGAAGTTCATCAATTTGTCTTCTTGATTTTTAACACTGTATCTAAAAGACTAAATTCTTTCACTTTTAGCTGCTGGAAATAAAACTGCGTGTCATCACTTTGCAATATTTAGGAATTAGTGACTTTCTCACTATGTACTTGAACAATTTATCTTTACACTTACTAGTAAAGGGTTCCAAAACAAGGAACATCAGTAGAAAAAACTGCAACTGTTTATCAAACTCGTAAACATCTTTTCATACAGCTTCATCCATAGGGATTTAAAATACAGAAGATAACATGCCAGAACTTACACAGCAGGAAGCAGCCCTACCCTGGGAAAAAAAGATCTACCTGGCACTTTAGTGTACTTAACATAAAATATCTCCTTTCTGAATACTTGAAATACAAAATCATAAATTTAGCATAAAGCAGTATCCAAACTTACAGAAGTTGAAATCCTCTTTGCTGCTTCTGTAACTGCCTGCTCCAATGGTTTCCAAACACGGAAAGCATAACGACCTAAAAAAAGATGGAGGTTAAATGAAATATTCACTAAAATGCAAAAAAACACCCCACAAACAAGCTCCAACTTATGTTCATCACTTTACAGCAGAAAGAATTTTGTTTTTAAAAAAACCCAAACTATTTGGAGAGGGAGAAGATTTTTAGTACACTGCATCTAAAAACCTAGTCATGGACTGCAAAGACCCATTGTGTTTACTCACTATTTAACTCACTAAATAAATAGATTTAAATACATTTCAATATGATAAATGAAGATACCTGCCTTGTGAACTTTAAGAAAAAGGGTGGTTTGAAACATTAGCTTTGGGTATACATTATTTATTAAATACTCTTCAAAGGTTATGTCTTCAAGACAAGAAATCCATGTACTACACGTTTCTTGCTGTGATGCTGTATGCTTAATTACACACCTTGTAAATACTGAATTTTTAATTTCATTAGAAAAAGACGATCTTCTGGGATTCAGAGCCATACAACTCCCCACTAGCACTGAGTGTCTATAGCCAGGAAACACTAGAGGGATTCCTATAAGGCTGCGCTCCCAGAAGAACAAAGCAGCTCTATCAACACCAGAATCAAGATTTATGCCATGTTACTGGAGGGTTTTCCATGTAAATCCTCTTTCCTCAATTATTGTTTTAACTATTGTTTAGCAATGTAACTTAATATTACACACAATGGAAAAACTATTTATAAAATGTGGCTCTGCTTCATTCAAATAGCATCTTGCATTCATTCTTACAACACATATCATATCTGTAAGTTTTAGTGATCTAAGCCTGTGCCTATGGTAACACAGAAGTCAAAACCACATTAGACTATCTCCGTTGAAATGTTGCGATGTACCATTACCTCACTGTCTTCTTAATGCTTTCTGCTAACCATTATTTAATGTTAAACTCATACCCTGTCTTCATACTAGAATATATTTTTCAGAATAACAAACAGTCCGGATGCAAAGAGTTCATGTAATAAAAAATGTAGTATGGAAACAGTTAGTATGATAAATCACTAGTCACTAAAACCTTTTATTTTCCTCTATTTCAATTTGTTGAGCATAACCTTATCATCACAGCATCTTGTTGCACTCTTCTGTACTAAAGGGCCTCTACACTGCAATATGTTATTAATTCAATAAACTTTTCACCTTTCATTTTGCAGACAAAAAGCAGATGGAGCATTTTAGCTGCTGTCCATGAAATTACATTATCCAGCTTTCTCCACCTTTTTCAAAAACAATTTTGGAATTTATTACTTTGAAGGTGGACACAATTCTTATGACTTCTATAGGTGGATACAATTTTCCATAGTACTCTCGAGCAACCTTTCCACTCTCCACTATTTATATTTATAAAACCTTCATTAACCCCTTTGGAAACCACAGCTCACAAAGTGAGAGTTCTGTGGGTAATTTACCTTACCTGCAAACGCAACAGTTGCAACGCCAAGTCCGAGTGCTATCATAGTCTTGGCCTAAAGCAGAAAAACAGGAATCAGAATAACATGTGAATTCTAATTTGATATATACACATCTTTTACTTTAACAATGAGCATTTCTGATGTCTGATGTGGACATTTCATTTACAAGCTATGAAAGCGACGGAAGTAAGTTCTGTATGCCACAGGCTGTTGGATTTTATAGTTCCACCATTGTATCAGGTTTAACTTGAACTACCCACTAGCAAATCAGTGAACACACACTGAAATCAGCTCATAGTATGCACTGATATAAACACAAAGCATAAAACCATACAGCATTATTTGAAATTACCTGCGCAGTCTAGTTCTACACAACAAAGTATCAGTTTACTACAAAAACATGAAAAACTAACTCCCATATCAGGTGTATGTATTTTCCTACACAGTAATTGGAAAAGTCAGGCACTTCAAGAAGGGTAAGAAGTATTCCTCTGTTGATCAAGAAGCTGAAGAAAGATATGAAGTAAACCTTGAAGAAAGGACTGCCTTCTCACATGTTTGCAGAATTCAGGAAGGGTAACAAGCTCTCCCCTTCTGAAAAGCCTCCATGCAATCTTTGAAACAAAGGAAATAGTCATCTGTGGTATTACCTGTCCTATCATAAGACAGTTCAATAATGCCTTGAATTTCCCCCTGGAAAATCTGAGAAATCAGATTAGGTTTATCTTGAATTCAAAACATAATGACAGTGAAAATGCTTTTATCATCAGACTGTCTCTTCTATATATGACTTATTTCCACAATTATCCCATAACTGGTTTATACGTTTTATACCTTCAATGTGAATGCCCTAGTAACTGGATCTGGAACCCAGGTGCCTTTACCACTAAGATTTCTGGGGCTAAAATACTTCCTTTCCAATTGTACCCAATCTCATTTCTAGACTGTGGGAGCAGGGGAAGAGTTCAGAAACACTGTTTTCAAAGCCTTTCTAGAGCTGGCTTAGTAGGACTTAGATCATGGGTTGGCAACTTGCCCAGAAAGAGGCAGCTGTACAAGATGCAGGAGCTGCCCTCATGCCCAGTGGCTCCTACAGCTTTGGTTCTGAAGGCAAGTGGCTGTGACTGCTGCCTGTAGCACTGAGCTCAGGACAGAAGTCCCAGCCTCCTCTGAGGTCACCAGTAGAAGCAGCTGTATTCCTCCAGATCTAGCATCTGGATGCTGCAGAGTTTAACTAAACACCTACCTCCCACCTACCTGAGGGGGAATTTTTGCCTTAGATATTTGCCTGTATATTACATTTTTGTAATTTAATTCTTCCATTTCAGTGTGGTCCTCAGTCTCAATAGTAGCATTCATTTCTAAATGTAAAAATAATATAGTAGCTTTATGTCTGTGGTTCCTTTCAGTTCCACAAAATTTCCTCTTGTCTTCTCCCCATGAAAATGTTTAAGGATGTTATCTTAGATGGCAGATGATGTAAAATTGTGAAGCATACAGTTCATCTTCTCACTAAACTAAAACTCTTTTCCCTTCTTCTCATAAATCAGTTTTCCCAGGCTCTCAATACTCAAACATCCAAAAAAGATTCCTCCACTTAGACACAAACCACAAACAGCCACCTTTCTGGAAATATCCTAACCCTATAGGAATTCTATATTATTCTGTCTTGTGGTTTGTGACCATGGATTAATATTCAAGAGTTTCCTTGACTTACTCAGACTGACAGCAAGAATCTTTTACTAAGTGGTTACAGTCAATTAAGAGCTCAACAATGTGTGAAATAGATCACGCTGGCAAAAAAAAAAATTATTAGCCTTTGATTGTCCAAATTAAGTTATACTTGCTTTGCCACCAAAAAGGTGGTTTAAGTCAGCAGTTTACAAGACATGCAGGTTGCAACAAGACATTAGCAGCAGACACCTCATCACAGGCAAGACCAAGCACAGAGACCAGACTATTAACACCAGGATTCTGTCAGTTCAGTGCAGAAGCAGCTGAAGTGATTTTGCACAGTAATCTGGGAGAACAATGCAGAGACCCCCGAGGGCCTTTGACAGAGGCGCCATGTCCGCTGGAATGCATTAGTCCAACCTCAGCGGAAAGCACCAGCAGCCAGTGGAAAGCTACTGCTGCCCGGAGTATAGCAGGTAAAAACAAACCATGGCAGCAGCCCTTGAATAGCAGCAGGATGCAGGATCAAGGGGAAATAAAGACAAGACAGAAAACTTGGTAAAACTGGTACAAAGCTCAAGCCAGAGAGGAACAAAAGACTGTCTGCACATTTAAGTAGGCATCAGAAAATCTGAGAAATACTGGTTTATTTTAACTCATCTTATTTGCATTATGAGCACGTTAGAGAAGAGTCACTTGCCACATATTAGCAAAGAAGTGATAACTTCACCCACTAAAGCATCCTGAAAGTTATGGTGTGAATGTATCCTAACTATACACATGTGATAAAGACGGAATTTGGATCAGTGTGAGATTGCAAGTTTGGCCTCTTTCTTGACACAGACTATGATAAAAGCAGTGGCAACTTCAAGTACTAACCAGTAAATTCTTCAAGTCCAACTTGACTCAGTTTCCTTTTCCATGCTCTCTTAACTCAGTTGAATATTTAAAAGAATCAGTCAGGGTCAGCCTGGTGCTTTGAAATGTTAAGTCCAAAGCTTTAATTAAATGCACTCCTTTCACGTCAATATTAAATGAAAGCAACTCGCTCTCTCTGTGGAAGGCAGCAGTTCATTTACAGCATGCTAATACAACTACCACCATGACCATTTTAGTCTCCTATTGCTTGAAATTGCATTTCATAAGGGATAAAGAAATAAATACATACACACTGACTTTCAATTATGACAGAATTGACCTTCTCCCCCCTCCAAAAATGCTGTTAAGAAACTTCCAAGATGTGGATTTTAAATGAAATCATTATGTTACAATCCAAGAGGGAAAAATAAAGAAATAAAATATTAAAAACTAACATCTGTCCCTTTCTATATTCAATGAATCAGCTCCCAAAGGTTAGTCATCAACCCCATGCTATTCTGCTGATCTCAGTATTTTAATTTTACTATGTAATTCAGTCTTCAGTAACAAACCCTGCTAAAGGAAGCTAATGAAAAAGTTATACTAAATCTGTAATACCTGAATTTTCTTACTCCTTTTCAGAAGTCAGTGTAAGAAAACACAACCATTAGAAAGGCAACTGCCAAGACCTGGTTTACCTAAGCATTTGGCAAACAAAAGACCATAAAGCATATTAATTAACACGCAGTATGTTAGAAAACAGAGAATTTCTGTCTATTCCTTTAATATTTAATTCTCCAATAGCCTTAATGTTTTAGCAGAAGAAGGGGAGGATGAGATATTATTTTTGCGAATCCCCAATCCATGGTGCCCTTCTAACTTAAATATACTCAAAAAATAAAATTACATATGGAGTTCTTAGCATTAGAGCTTCTTCTTCTTCTATGAAGTAGAAAAAAGTTAAATTTATAAACAAAAGGAGAATTTCAAATGCATAATTTTAAAACTTCAGCACAACACTCTTACATCTGACAATGGGCTGCAAATGTTAATGGGCTTTTCAAATATTAAAACTAATCTGCCTGCATATGATTTGGATTTTATACTGGTTCTTCTACTACAACTAGTGGAACACCCTTCTCAGTCAAATGAAAAATATTTTGCTCTCCTCACTACTAAGTTCCACACACACAGCAGGAGTCCTACAGTCTTTTGCCTCAGAAACCTACAGTGAGAAGAACAGAATAAAAAGCACAGAGAAAATAATAATTTGTTTCCATGGGTTGAATGGTATTTTGCAATTAATCCATGCTTAATCGTGGACCAGCAAAATAGGAAGTAGGTACCCACATTCAACTAAATACAGACAAGTATAAATTGCTTAACTAAACATTTTCAAGGTTTGGTTTGTTTGTTGTGGGTTTTTTTTAGTTCTATACACTGCTAAGAAGTAGGATACAAAAATATATTAACTAAGTGTACAAAAACATTTCTGAAAATAGATATTCGCTTAAATAAAAAATCTTGACTGGAAATATAAATGATTGTTTGGTATGGAAGATAGAACAAGGCTTCTATTCCTCAGAAGAGTAGCTACAGTTTATCTGAATACTGCTCTAGAGCAAACCACCTTTCTAACACTATATACTGTCAGAACCATTGTGAAGTGGGATTACATCATAAACTCTATGCACCCAATTTTATTTCATAATCTAGTATTCTCCCTCTAGTGTTAACCCACCTATTAAATTTAATTTGTTTTCCAACAGTGAATTGAAAGTAATTTCAGCTAGATGGTGTTCTCCATACTGACACAATTCTCACATCATTTTGTGTCCTTTAATTTCCAGCAACCTTTTTGGTTTGTATATAAAGCTACAACTACAGTTCTGGATGGTTTTTCATAGGAAATGGAACCAGAGCAAGATTCACTAATAGAACAATTACCATAAGGTATTCAAATCAATCTTCTTGAGTATGCACTAATAAACAAAGGCTCCTGTGGGTGATCTTTCAGCAGAGACCCCTCATGCTTCCACTGCTGCTCTTCCATTGCTCCAAACGCTTTTGTAAAACAACTACAAGAACAAATGTAGTTGTGATCAAGTGACTTTCAGCTAATACCCTGGAGTAAGGAATAAATTCCAACAGAAAACTGTAGACTTCCGGATTTCAGTCCTCTAAAGACCCACTTCAGTCTCCAGACCTCTCAGTAAGAACAGGACAATACACACAATAACAAAGCAAGCCATGCTATCTCCAAATGCAACTTTTATCTCTGATGGGTAACAAGGCCCAAAGACTCAACAAAATTCTAGAAATTCCCTGCCAGCATTCCACAGGGACAATGGCCATGACAATAATAAGTTTCAGAGTCAGCTTCTTAAGATTACACACTTGCTGTTAAACACACAGGAAGACTCTTCTGTGGGAAAAAAAAAAAAAAGTCCTAGACTGTAGTAACAATGAATAAATAACTGAGAGAACTGTGATTTTTAAAACTGTGTTTTAAAGAAGTAGAAATATTGTAGAGACAACTTCACACACACAATTAGGTTAGGCAAGTAAGACTTTTAAGCCATTTAAAAAATGTGAAAACTTCACCATCTGGGGCTTTAAGCCGTGTGCTTTTCCCAATTCTCTTTTCCAATGGGAACTCACTGTTCCTTGAACTAGTTGAAGTGACAGGAATGAAGAAGTGGGATAAAATCCCAGCATCCCTTCCTCTAGAGCACGATAGAGCACAGGAAACTTTGGAGACACTGCCTCGACCCAGCCTTTCCCACAGCACAAAGTACCAGATGAGAATGACTTTTCTGAAACAGAGCTCTACAAAACCTTCAACACTCAAACCTGCCTGCGGTAATAACATTTGCACAGCGAAAACACGTCAGGTATCACCTTTTCACAGCAGGGAACAGAATTTTTGGCCTCGTTTGTGAGTGCTGGGGCTGAGGCGTTCCCATGTACCCTGCTGTGGAATCCCAGCAGATTAGGGACTAATGTGCATGTTCCAAACACACATTGGCTGTGAAGACAACCAAGGACCCTCGGTGGTGACACACAAGAACTGCTGGGAATAACCAAAGATTGTTGGCCGTGGGAAAGAACAAGATGTGGCTGGAGAAGGGGCCCATGCAGAGGCAGGGCAGCGCTTTTCCCTGCTCCAGCTCCTGGAGGTAAACACAGCACAGTGCAAGGATGAGGCCAAGCACAGGGCACGGACTGTAGAGAGTGGATCAAGACCACCAAGGATCCCCCAAGCCCTCCATCCCTGTTTCCAGAATTTCACAGAGAGAAACCTGCCTTCTTGGCAGGGAAAACCTATCCATAGAAAAGTATCCCCAGGTACCCCCAGGAGATTTCATCAGTCAGACTGAGGCTGGAACCAGAACCGGTGATCTCCTTTACTCTCTCTCTTTTTCTCTCACTTTTCTTCTTTTCCTTTCTTTTTCTCTTTTTATTCTCATTTTATTCTTCTTTAATTCACTTCTTTTCTCTCTCCCCTTTCACCCTCCCCCTGTATCCAAAACCCGCATCCGTGTGCTCACACAGTAGGTCAGAGCGAACATTTCCACACCGACCGTGTAACGCTCTAATAAAACTTTCCGATTTCCTCTGCCCTCTGTCGTTCCCCGGGACCACGAGCACTCAGGAGCCCCGGCTGTGCCCTCCCCTCAGAGCACACGCTGCAGCTGCACCCGCGGCACCGGCCCAGGCCCCTCTACCCCAGCCCCCGGCCACCTGCCCGGCCCAAGGGGAGCGCAGCACGCCTGGCCCGCAGCCCCGGCCCCCGCCCCGCTCACACCCGTCACCCTTCACACGTGTGAAGGCCGGGGCTGCGGACGGGGCAGCAGCCGCCTCACGACCCCGGGGGTGGGGGTCCCGCCGTGCGCTCACCAGCCCCCGGTCCAGCTCGGCTTGGCCCTTGCCGGCGCCCGTAGGGGCCCGGGCGTACTCGGCGTAGCGCAGGCCCTCGGCGGAGGCCGCAGCGCCCTCCATGATGGCGCGAGGAGGAGCGAACGCTACGGGTGGGCCGGAGGGACAAACAGCGCGGCAGGACGGAGCGCGAAACGCCTCCTCCCGCGCTGCCAAGGCCGGCGCGCCGCAGCCCGGGAGAAGCGGGACACGGAGCGATATGGAATAATCAATGCGGGCATCAGGGATAATCAGCGCATGGGATCAAGGGGGACAAAACATTCAGGCCACACGGAAATTATTCCTGCCCATCTTCAGAATACAGGATTTTAGAAAGAGGGGGCGGGGGGGATATATGTAAAGGAAAGAATAAAGCGTAATTTATCTGGGAAAAACCCTGCTAAAATGCGTTTTAAAATTTACATGCTGGCTTGCACCTCAGTTGATGTCTGTGTGTGTTTCACTGTGTTTATACTTCGATTCCCTGCAAAAGCCGTCACTTTGGATCGTAGCTCACCCTTCTGAAAGCGCTCCTCACCTGATGCCTCCCTGAGCAGAAGTTGTGCATCACCTTTTGTCCCACAGCACAATCAGTAAAATGCTCGGTCCTGTGTCCGTACAGCAGTGAAGCGGCTCTTCCCTTGTGCTGCTTTTCCTTCCCTCCTGCCTGGTAGCGCTGGCGATGGAATGGGATCATCTGCGGCTTGCTAAGCGGTGTGCCTGGACAAAAAGAATGACTCTCCTTACCTCCTATTTCAAACGGCGATTGCTCCTCTGAGCATCTCTAAAGTATCTTTGTAAAGTACCGCAGAGGAGAGCTGACCACATACAGCATTTCATTAACCTTAGAGAGATGTATAAATTTAACTTTCTGCTGAACAGAAGTCATTGGAAGTTGCACGATGATGCGTTCGTCAAGAAATGCATTCGTTTTTACTTCTCCATTGGACATATAACATACAATCATGTATGATTAATTCTTTAAACCTTTAGTGGAACTGGATTTCTTAGAAACTTAAAACTTATCTTAGAAACAATAGAAATCTCCCCAACTAATCTTTTTTTTTATTCATTTGCAAAGAACTGATGCAGAATAGTATGTCACTTTCTACTTTCTTGGTTAGCAAACCCAGCTTAAAAAAACAACAATTGAAAAACAAAAACAAAAATTGAAAGTTTTGGGACTTAGGGTCTCTAAGGAAGAGAGACCTAAATGAGGGTCTCTTCCTTAGTTTTCCAAGCTGATCTCTGAGACCCCTTAACAGGACAGATTCTGTTCTCATTAATCCAAAGCTATTTTGCCCAAATACTACTGTCTCCTCATCACAGCAGCCAAATTCTTCCTCCTTTATAAGTATCAAATCCAGAAAGCATCTGCCCCTGTCAGGTGCTTGATCACCTTTGTAAGGAAATTATAATCTATGAACACAGGAAATATTTTATGTCATTGTAAGGGCCCAAGCAAAATTGGACTCTTAAAGACACTAGGTCTTTGGTCCATACAAATACATCCAGGCACACTCTGAGATGGAGAACAGTGCTCAAAACATCTTTTTCACATCAGCAGCCACACCACTGCTGCTGATTCTGAACAGAGAGCTGCAGGAAGCGTATCGATTACACGGAGCAAACCAGATAATCAACATGAGGAAAATGTATCTTCTGCCAGGAGTGAAACAGAGTAGTTTGTTTTCCTTGGAAGCCAGGAGGGGAGGAATGAAAGCAGCTGGGTCTGTGGTTATGGTTCTCTCCTGAAGCTCCTCTCAGCGTGGCACAGCTGTGTGCTACTTTATGCACAGGATGGTGCTGGTGGAGACAATCTGTCCATTACTATTTAATTCAATCCTAAACACTGGTGTGTTCCAGCATATTGTCACTATTAATGTGTAGCAATGTTGTCCAGATTTGTTATGCCATTGAAGTTAATTGTCTGCATATTTCTCCTATAAATTATTTCCCTAACCAGTCTGTGCTTCAGTGTTCCATGTTGCAGTCAGGATCCATGCTGGCAAGAGTCTCTGTCAGGAATGAAGGAGAATCTAGAAATGGTTAAATATTGTGAAATTGATAACCAGGATCCTGTGTGTGTTTGGGATTTTTACCACTGAGAATTTCCAAAGAACCTCTAAATGTAGCACCCAATCAGTGAAATTAGAATGGCTGTGACCAAAGTTTCATCCTAAAGATTAAAAGTTTCTGAGGTCAGGCAGAGAAGAGAGTATAATTGAAAGTTATCAAGGAAATCATGAGGCATATCATATAAAACTGGAGAAGTCAGTACTTGAGCCTTGCTGAATTGTCATGAGCATACAAATGAACGAAGAATAAATCCTCTCAGCCAGGATTAGAAGTTGTAAGAGTTAATTCTCCTACAAGCATTTGTATATTTAATTACCACAATATACTATAAAAGTTAAAATAAAACATAAGCTGTGGACTTCTACTAATTTATTTAGGTAATGTATTTGGAAACATAATACAATAAAGAATGTAGTGTTCTTTCCAGACACTATAATTGTCTGTATGACACCTTTGGTTGACTAGGTACCACAAGGTAGTATATTATATAAAATCCTAAGCTGGAACTAATCATGGCCTTTAGGAATTCAAAGAGCATAATTATTCCTTGTAGAAGATAGTATAGATGCCAAAAAGCTCATGTATCTTTTGTGAATAAGTAAATCTATGCTTTAAAGGCTGTTAAGAAAAAAGATCTATTCAAGCATACCGCAAATACTATTTTAATACTGCCAGACTTCTCAAGGACTTTCCTTCTGGACATAGAGCTGGAGCAATAGCTCTTAGACCTCTTTGTTTCTGATACCATTTGTGCAGTTTACCACTTAATTTTGCCTTTTCCAATAGATTTTTGCAGGCATTTTAAATTATATAAATAATTCATTTGTAGTTCTGATTGCTTTTATAACATCAGACCTTTAAAACAGCCCTGCTTTATTATTTAGTGTTATTTATACAGCAATATAGATATGCATAGCATCCTCCAGGCTAAAGAGCTGCTTCTAAAATGTAGCAATAATCTTCAGGCACTGGACCTCAATACAGCAAATTCTGGACCCCAGGTTGATTATATTTTCAATGCCCACTTCCATTTGCTGAAGCAGTATTAGCTAAAGGAGAGGTGAACCTGCTGTAATATTGTAGAGAAAGCAAGGGTCAATTTTCTTTTAGAGGATGGAAGATGATACTTTTTGACAGGTACCGTCAATTTCAGCTTTTTGCAATAAAATGGGAAGTGTGTGCAGCATTTTACATCTCCTAAATAGATTACCCAACACATCCACACACATGTACTTGTCAAAGCTAATGGCATTCTTTCTGCTGAACCTGACAAATTCCAGTCCTCAATCTAAACAAGAATAAATCTTAACCAAATGTTGACATTTTACCCTCCTCTTGGGGCTCCTCTCCAGAGATCATAGAAAATTCTCTTCTCCAGCATCTTCAGCTGTAACAATTAGTTCTATCAACCCTGCAGAAAGCAATCAACTTAATTGTAGAGGAAAGTAGAGTACTCAGCCAGAAAAAACATTGGTAAAGTAAAATGCACCTCTGAAAATTCAATTCTTATTTTGCCATCATGGTATAACAACTAAATAAGCATTTCTAATTATAGATATTCCTCTGGAGATATTTGCCATCATTTGCCATTGCTCTAAAATATAGAGATATGTTCCCAATTATCAATTACTTAATATGCTCTGTAGTATATTCAGCTGTGTGTCTTACCTACTTAGCTAAAATATCCAGGGAAAAAAGCTTTGTATATGAACCCTTGAGCATCATAGTCAGCTGCAGGACTAAGTGTTTTAATGCTGATGACAAAGGAAGAAACATTTCTCCAGCAATCAAGGCCTTCTGATACCATTTCCTGACTTCTGAGAAAAATAGAAAGTGGGTAGTATAAAAGCTCACCTGGCTGTCCTTTCAAAGGTCTCCTTCATTTTAATGTTTTTCTTCAGGCTTTAGGCTTCTAGTATTCTTGCATTAAATAAATATCTTAGTTTTTAATGAAATGTATCTGTGGTTGTGGAAAAAAAAAAACCCTTAAAAATTCAAAACCTTAAAGTGCCATGAACTAACAGTAAAATAATGAAGAATGAACAGTTGTCTTCAGGGAAGGAAAGATAGGGAACATTACATTGCTTTAATTTTATGGGGATTTTAATACTAATTCTTTCATAGAAGAGAGTTTTATCCTATCTAACATTCCCAAAGAAATGATGACTTGGCTGACCCAGATCCTTTATAGTGAGAAAAGGTTTTTGATACCTCTAATTTTTGGTATAGTTCATGATGCTCCAGAGTTGGAAATAAAGGTTCAGTACAAAATGTTCCCCCAGAGAAGTTATTTTGTTTTATTATTGCAATTTCATGAGAAACACAGGTGAGGGAGGGAATATGACGATTCTTAATATTTCACATGTCCACTGAGGAATTTTCTCAGAGCAAAAGAAAGATCATTTTCTGTCTTTCTGTCTCCCAAAAATTAAAATTTAAAAAATTGTTTTTAATAGCTGGAGGCAACAGAGCTTTACAGACAAAAAAGCTTTATTTTGACAAATGGATTTTCTCACTCTTTTTCCTGGTTTCTCCCCTATCCTACTGGTGGGAAGGAAGGAGCCATGAACTGTGTGAGTGCTCACTTGATAGCAAGGGCCAGTGCATCGCAGCCTCAGATCCAGTTAGGGATGTGCAGCAACGATAAATATAGCCCCTAGATAGAATTGGCAGTCAGTATTTGGTGGGTCTAGAAAAATACAAGTACTGAATTAAAATCCTTATGTAGGATTTGGGAAGGTTGAGATTTGGTGGTGTTTCAGGAGACTGAATGCATTGGCATTCTGATGTTTTAGCATCTGTTTAACATCTATAACACTAAATAAAACAGGGCTGGAGGCTGATCCTTTTTCCCAAACACAGCTAGTACAGACTCATACATATGCTGCCCAAGACTAGGCTAGAAGGGGCTAAGGGGCTGGGTGGATCCTAGTGGAGGCAATATGCATGTCCTTACCAAACTCCAAGCATCCTGAGAGCCTTAGGTGGTACTGCCATGATGCTGGAACTTGATTATTATTTTGGGGATATTTCAGCTCAATACATCTGAAGCAGTGTAAGAGCTGGGTTGCAGCCTGTCAAATGTTGTGTTTTAGCAGCATGAAACTGAAGGGCTGATGAATGATAAACTGGAGTATCACACAGAGGCTGTGGGGTGAGTCTGAGATTGCTTGGATAGTGATGAAGAGATGTTTGGGGTGGACAAGGTAAATCTGGTACACTAGTCAGTATTGACTTTCTGGGGGTCATGTCTGGCATGAACCATCCTTAGAGCCAGACCTGGATGTTGTCCTGGATAGAGTTGGTTTGGATTGTCCACAACAGAGCTACGAAATAAATGAGCATGGAAGCAACAAAAGTGATCAAGCTTCTAGAGCTTGGGTTCATTTTACATCCCTCTTTTTTGAGCAATATAGATATAAATATTTAGATTCTACAGTTACTGTTTTCAGCCAAAAGTTTCTAAATTTCAACAGGAAAATGACACTAGATCTGAATTTTACATAACATTATAGGAATGAAGACACAGCAGCAGTGGCCACATTAATTATAATCAATTTTTGTAATTAAATATGGGTTATTGAGACATCAATCTGCGTGGATAAGAACACTCCAGATGTCAAAGCTGGATTTTTACCAGATAGGGTGTCTGTAGGCACAGCTGTTATCCCACAAATCTTTGCAGTCCTCACACATTATTTTGGCTATAATTTCTGTGCTACTTCTAGTGCTCCTGCATCTCCCGTATCAACCCTCCAGTTCTATGGAAGGGAGTAAGCTTCGTGCTTGCTTTCATTTGCCACCACCTTGTACATCAAATAGATATATATATATTTGTGAAGGGAAGTGATGCAAGGGACCATGCACCAGTTCATCCCTTTACAACACACTGCCCTTGCACTCCAAAGTCTGCAGAATTATTTGTGTACCAATGGAGATCATCTCTGCTGCAGAGCATGTTAGGAGGGATGGGGGGAGGAGAGGCCATTGGTGCTGCCTTCTTGGGGCAGCCCTAGAAGATGGGTTCAAGTGGATATGGAAGCTCTGGCAGGTGAGCTGCTGGTGGCAGGGTCCCAAGGAGCATTACAACCACCAGGCAGCCTGTGGCTTTCCATATGGCATTTTACTTTACTCCTTCCCCTGCATGCGTGGATAGTGCTGTGAGACCTAGGTGGTCCAGGCAGTCAGGAAACCTGGCCAGCAGTGTGTTTCTAGTGTAGCTTGCCCAGCTGAGGACAAAGAGTGATGAGATCTGCATGAGTGGAGCTGTATCTCCTTAGTTCTGCTGCATTAACCTGGAGTAGCATTGATAGTGCTTTTTTGCTTGGGTTAGAAGTTGACAAACATCTTTTATTTACTAATGATATTTAAAATGTTGCTGGTGATCTCCAGCCTTGCAGATCCCATAGATACACCACCACTGGTTAGATGTGATCACTCAAAGGATCTCCATTTTCAGTAAGTATTCGTCCTCTGTTCAGGTAGAATTAGGAAAGTCAAAGTAGTTTTCTGATTGAGCAGAATTGAAAAGCCAAATTGGAATTTTTCAGGACCATTGCCTTAAGATTTATCTGAAGGTTGGGTTTTAGCTTCTCTTTCATCTTTCCTTGTACACTCATGTGATATAGAAACCAAAAAGACCCCTTGTGAGAGACTGGGCTATGACTCAAAATAATTGCCCATTTGTGAAGGCATGAGGGTGCTTTGCTGAGACCAGGTTTGCAACTCACCAAGAATGAGATGAGATTTTGGGTGTGTAATGACAAATCTCTGGTCTGCAAAAGACAGAAGGGATGAACTTATAATTGCCAGAGACTACAGGCTGGGCTTTGAGGCTGATAAGAGGCAGATCTTATGGAAACAGGGTGGTGCTTTCCACCATGCCAAATTGCCTGCTCTTACATACACCCCCTGCAGATAGATCAAGACCTTCAATCATCACTTCAACCAACAGCAACACTCAAGTCTCACTGTAAATCTAGGGGTGGTAGTTATGTATCTTCTTACTCCTATCCTTTCTTTCTCTTTCTTCCTTTTTTTTTTCCCTTGCACATTTTAACTGATATCTTTACGCTTTCATATTGGCTTATAGCTATAGATAATAACCAAAATGGCTATATAGCTGCTTTCTATTGCAACCTAATTGTTCATATATATATATATATATATATATATATATATATATATATATACACACGCACACACACATATTTGCAAACACTGATAATTCAGTATTTTTTCACTGTAATCCACCCAAAGAGACCCGCACTACTTTCACCTTCATGGGTAGGTAATAACACCCCAAGAGTTATTCCCTCTGTCATAGGGAAGTGCTGGGTTAAAAAAATGTCAGAAATATATGTCAGAAATTATCAGAAAAATGTCAGATCTCCCCACGCTTCTGCACACTGTTGTCACCTGGTTTATTAGTGCAGATCAGCTTTGCTGTCACCCTGTGACCTCTGTGTGCCTGGACACTGTGATCGAGATGATGAAACTTGAGCTTCAGCTGGCGGATGCCTCAGAAACTAGAACATGTGTTGGCATGCCTGCCAGCCCAAAGTTCAGGAAGGGGAGGAGTTTAGCAGGAATTGAAACTGATTTCTGGCCCCTCCAAAATTTGCGTGTTCCCCTGGCTATAGCAGCAATACTGGTTTCTGCCAAGGCAAGGTACTTGCAAAACCATGTCTGGGGCTGGAGGATGGAGGGAAGGCAGCAGGTACAGGACAGCTACTGCCTTCAATATGTCATCTTCCTCTCAGGGTAACCCTCATGGCAACAAGGAAACAGAGAAGGGTGAAAACACCCAGAAGCTGACAGCATTTGAAGAGAAACAAGGAGGCCAAGCATCAGTGCACCAACAACAGCAAAATCAGTAGTAAGTAACAAGGGGCCTGACTGAGATTACCAATGCAGATTACTACCTGCACTGGGTGCCTGTTCTCCAGTTTACTTGAGGTGTACACTGTTAAAGGTGAAAATATTTTACAGAGAGCCTGAATGTGGCTGAGCATACAAGTAGCATGCTGTCATCTCCTTAGAGCTTCCTACATGGGACCTGAGTTGCTCTGGCAGGCTTCTTGACAGCATGGCTTACACCCTGGGCCATAGCAGTGGCCAGTTCTGTGCCTTGGATACTGGCATACGTGGTGTCTGGCATCTTTTTTCAAAGTTTCTTGGCATCTTTTTTCAAAGTGAAATTTCAAATCTGGTTCTAGCTCCCTGTTTTCTGTGCCTCCTAATATTTCATCCTGGAAAGTCTAAAAATACTTACTTTGGCTTAAGAGATGGATATAGGCTGCATTCCAAGACTGCTCTGAATGCAGTCAAGGACACAGAACAGTTTCCAGGAACTTCATGCTCACAAAACTAAAACCAAAGCTTCAGCATTTGGTGCTTTATTGGAATCTATGCTTAGTCCCTCTCTTGCTTTCCACTGACAATCCTGAGATAACTTATATAAGCTCTGTCTTGCAGATATAATGCAGAATAGAAACTGAAAGCTCTATGTTTGTGTTTTATGCATGTATGTTTAATGTAAATATACATAGCTGACCATAGCCAAGTGTTTATTCCTTTTCACCGTATGTGCTTTTTCTGAGTTCTTATAACAGTGCATGTAATGCTAAGATTATTGTTATGTGCTGATTTTGCTTAGCTTGCTTATTTTTCTTCAGTCTTTCAAAGGGCAGCTGGCAAAACTGCAAACACTTTCAGTTTCCTTTCCCTTCTCTCTGGGTGAAGAAGGTGGAGCCACCTCTGGAGGAGGTGGCAGGCAGCTGATGGTGAGCAGAGATCAGCAGCTTTCCACTGAATCCCATGAATGCTTGCCTATTGGGTAGCAATGATACAGGGACTATTAAAAGCTGAGTCCCTTTAAAATCCATCAGCACTTTAATGATTGGCTTTCAGGAGAGCAAACAACAATTCTTTAGTTGCTGTCTGTTTATTTTCTGTCACTTCCAAATATGAAAAATTCTCTGTCTTGCCTGCTTTCACAGTGCCACATATCCACAGTAGAGCAAGGACAGCCTCAGTTTGTTTATGTAGCTCTAATGTGTGCATTTTGTTGCTGTTTGGGTTGTTTTTCAGGGGGAGGAGGGCGCCGCAGGGCCAGTGGGAGCTTTCCCATTGGCATGACCGTGTTTACCCAGTTTGTCTGGCATACAAACTCCCTGGTAAAGGTTAGGTGAATAATTAATCAATTGGTTTGCCAGAGCTCCCTGCAGAATTTAAGGCCAGAGCACATATAATCACACAAATCCCTGTTCCCTCTTTCATCTTACATGATTCTTGCAGACATAAAGCTGTTGTGCATCCACTGCAAAGACTGAGCACTATTTTCTGCTGTGTGAAAATATTCTCTCTGTGTCTTCATAAAGTACTAACAAAGAATTAGTTCCTAAATCTCAGATGTACAAATTAAATTCTGCATTAGTATTCAGTTAATGAGAAGAGGGATGAAGGAAAGGCAGTTTGGAATAGAAACCATGTAATATGAGTGGGAAACTAATATTCTAATAAAAAAATGAAGTGAATTAGAGGGGGGTTTGCATACTTCCCTTTAGAAAGGGGATGCTACCTGGCAGTTTGAATGGGATGAAGCCACTTAAACTGCAATTTCCTTAACTAATACAGATTAAAGGAGAAGATAGCATCTGAAATACTGAAACAGAACAGTAGGGATCTTTATTCTTAAAGAAAAAAAAGTTTCATTAATTATTACTTTCTTCATTTTTCTCAAGCTACATTTGAAGAATGATTTCAGATTAAAATATCATTTTACTGCTGATAAAGCTGACTCAGCTTTTTAGCCAGCGACATCTTTTAATATGACCTTTAAAACTAAAATATTGGAACACCCTCAGGCTCTGGTTTTCAGGTTCTGGGATAACAAGAGCAGCTGGAGAGCTGCAGTTACAGGGTGACAGTAGGAGAAAAAAGCTCAGACTAACATTACTAAAGGATTTCTGGAATATGCATAGCAGAGGGAACATGAGGGGCCCGAACAGGATATCTCTGTGCCAAGCAGTGTCTCTATTCCAGCTTCTGCTTGCTATTTTTTGAAAACAGACAGGGGTATAGTTTTCCTGCCAGCAAAGCAGTAGTTGGAGTCTCTTTTGAAGGCTCTGTGTGAATTGTTTCAATGCAAACTCTCTGTCTCAGGCTGTGAGAAAAATTTGGAGTGGGAAAACATCTCAGGAACATCTCCGGGTCATATTAGGTGACCTTTTGTTTAGATTGGGCACAGGAAATATGTGTGGGATGTAGCATGTTGCAGTCCTGTTCAGCACTGAATATTCAAACCAGACTATTAAAAATACAAGGTGAGCAGCTGGTATTAGAGTTTAGATAGTTTTGGTTTGGAAAAGCCCTTATATGATATGTCAAGGGTGAGAAGTGACAATAAAATGGTCCTAATTAAGAAAAGTACTTGTTCAAATGCAAAATTGAAGTCACACTTTGTACATCCCCATCCAGTTATACATAGAATGTGGTTTCAGGCCATGGAGAAAAAAGTCACCAGGATGACAAGACCTTGAAACTGCTTATAATAATAAGCTTGCATTTAAGTGGCTTCACTTTGTCTGTTAAGTGCCATGAAATTAACTTGTAGAAAGCAAATTCCCAAATTGCCCCTATTCATGCCTATTCAGAAACAAAAGTCTGTACAGAAGAAAGGTGGAGGAAAGTGGGGAAATTAGAGGGTGAACTATAGCTAGTACCTGAAAAAGAAACTGCTGCCCCCATTCAGCAGTCTGCCTTTAGTGCCTTCAAAGCTGCCAAGAATAATATTGGTTCTGGTAAAATCCATTAAAAACTGAAATTCAAAATAATAAAGCCTGAAGATATACTACTGCACAGCTGGTAAGAGTCCCTCATCATTTTGTTTGAAAGGAGAGCGGACTTGCTAGAATGCTTGACTCAGAAATTGTATTCTTTGACACTGGAGCCAAATCTATCAGAGGTTTCTTTCCTTTCTTTTCCAATCTTAATCCTGAATTAAAAAAACCAAACCAACAAAAAACAAACCAAAATACCTATGGTTTTATAAGACCCCTCATCCTATTGCTCACAGGCTATACTTAGTAGTTCTTTCATGAACTAAAGTTTCCTTAAAATAAAACAATAGTTAGTCTATGTTCTGGTTTGAAAGCAAAACCAGTGAGAGACCCCAAGTCAGAAATACAACTTTTTAGGAAAAGGAAAAAGAAAACATACAAACATACAAAATATATGCAATAATACAAAAGAAAAACCACTGACAGTCAGAATACAACCTGACACCCTGTTGGTCAGGGTGTTGGTAGCAGTCCACTTGGATTGGTGACTGCAGTCCTCCTGGAGTAGTAAATGCAGTTCTGTTTGGAGCAGTGATCCTGTAGAAAGGGTGTATTCTTCCCTTGAAGATCTGGTAGAAAAGGCTTGCCTACTCCCAACCCCAGATTATATCCAGGAGGGAATACTTAGCTCCTCCCCCTGGGTGAGGCATCTCACAATGAGCTGATGTCATTCTGTGAGTCACATGGTGGGTCCATTAAAGAGAAATGGCTGCTGGAGGGAGTGATCTCTGAGTCATGCAGCAAGGCATTGATGGGCCCATTAACAGGAGATAAGGAAAAACAATGCCCCTCTTGTTTTCAGCAGCTCTAGAGGATGGAAATAGAATACATCTTTATATTGTAACCTAGGACAGTCTACAAAACTGTTGGCGGATTTTAGCAAAATACTTGTTTTGCCCACTGCCCGGCTACTGGTGGGAGTGCAAGACAGGTGATGTGAATTATGGAAAACCTGTTCAGAGTTTAGCTCTCCACTTGCTGCACAGGAGAAGCCTCGCAACTCTCTGTCTTTCAGGCTGATGTACTAATGTTTACAGCCTGGTGGAGTGCTTCAGAGATGCCCAGGTTTGCCATGGTCAGTAGCCAGCCTTTTCTCTAGCCAGAGGATTGGTGGCAGGGTCTCTGTAAGACAATAAATATACTGTCAGTCTGGATGGGGGGGTTGCTGTGCCATATAATGTTTGGGGCAGGGAAGGAAGTCTTTCCATATTCTGTATTAGAAAACTTTTTTGAAAGAGCTTGCTTTGTACAAGCTCTGACGTATTCTCTTGATGCATAGCTTGATGAGGACCTGTGGCAAGGTGATGAATAAAGAATGTATATGAGGATGTTGCATTTGGTCAGGGGCAATGAAAGGACAAGTTCTCTGATACAGAGACAGCGGAGGAGGAAATACATTGTTGAAAAGAGAAGAGGCAGGGAAGCAGAGATGCACATGGCACTAGCTCAAATCTCAGTGTTCATGTGGTACAGCATGTGACCTGCTGAGCTCTGCAGGCACACTGGCAAGCCTGACATGCAGCACATGCATGGCCCTGCAGGGGAGAGCTCGGCTCAGCACTTGGTGCTGGCAAGCCCAGTGCCTGGCCTGCCCACATATGATGCTCTGTGCTCCTCAAGGCCAGGGATTACCAGGTGATCCAGCTGGCTCTGACATGCTCCCTACATACCTGCATCCCTCTCCCTACATCCCTGATGCTGTGCTACACTGAGGGAACTGAGCTGCTCTAGCACATGGGGATGGCATGAGCATGGCCATGTCTGACTTTTCTAGACTTTGCTGGGTCTGCCCTGCCACAGTGAGCTCTGCCCCTTTGGTGTTATCTGACTAATGGCATGTTAGGGTTTCCAGAGGAGAGAAAGCTGTGCTGTGAGCCAAGTTTGGGCTGAGAGCTACCCCTTGGCTCCCTGATTTGAACCATCAGGGTGGCAATTGCCTTGGATCTTCAGAAGTTGGTTGAGATTGTCCAAAACAGAGTGCGACTGAAGCACCTGCTCTTCTTTCTGATGTGCTAAGACCAAAACAAGCTGCTGA